GGCTCTGGACCACTCATCAGGCTCCAGGGAAAGGCAGTGGGAGTTATCATCCAGGGCCTTGGCCAGTGGAGCAAAGAAACAGTAAACTGCCACAGAAATGGGGGTTTGGAGGGGGGCTCAAATCTATTCAGAGACTTTGAAAACAATGGTAACCAAGAAACAGGCAGGTGAGATATTTTTACACATCAAATATTGCTTTTTGCTTTCAGAGTGAAGCTTCCGATTTCTCTCTTATTTTTCTCTTTTTTTTTTTTTCTTTACAAATACCTATATTTAAAGAGATGAAGTAAATTGTTAAATAGGGTGAATTAAATGGTTTTGGTAAACCCAAATCTCTCCACCCAGTAGTTTGTCTCACTTTTAAAAAAAATAAATGTTTCAGTTTGACCTGGTTTTTCCTCCCTAATTTTTCAGCTCACACCGTTGGATATAACAGAGTCTACGTAGGTTACATCATTCATGAGGAATCTCCTCTCATCTGTCTCCAAATGAATAACAACAAACATTCAAAAAATAATTGAAGTTTTATATATATCCCTTGGCCATTCAGGTGGTATGGCTGGCACGAGACATAGGCACTTTAAACAGCTGTTGTGAATCTTAAGTATAAACTTCCACCCTTTGGCACAACACCAGGAAATTATGCATAGGAATATACCTGCTTTCCCTTGCAGCAGACAAAAATCAAGATGTTTAATACCTTGAGAGTGGACGGGAGACAAAAGCTGTTTTCCCGGGGAACACCCATGTTTTGTCTGACCCTTTCTGCTATGTTGGACAAGCAGGACTGAGCAGGGCATTGGGCTGTGTTGCAACAGGTTTTGCAGGGGTTATATACAGCTACACCGACAGACACACACCTCTGCCTCCTTCATCAGCAGATACCTGCATTGTAGAGTAATTCAGTGCCCTGAAGAACAACCGCCACTCTACACACACAGTTTTTCACATATTACAACTTTATTTTTCAGAGATAGGTATGGCAACATAGCATGCTCTTAGAGCCATGTTTTCTGTTACCCAACCGATCCCACCTAGAGCCAACTCTGTTTACTCAAAGCCAGATCTTTCTTGGGGGAGAAACTCTCCCAGACAGGACAAACTGCTAGACCATCTTCTCCAGCTGGAGTCTGAGGTCCTGGCTGAAATCTCATTCCACTGCTTTTGTGAAAGTTCGGAGACACCAAAACACTCAGTGACCCCAGGAAAGCTGAGGAACACCCATTGGGCAAAACACTGCCTGTAGCATTACGCATGTGCCTGTCAAGCCTTGCTCCGAGAGCTGGTGTAGGATGGCTATTTGCTTAAATCAGACCTAACTTCCACCTTGCCATGTTTCCATGAGCCAGGGTAAATAAGTATTGCAAAGACCAAGGTGATTTGAGGTGGTGCAGGGGGGTGAGCCAAGCTCGGGCCTCATGGTGATTTCCAGGATCGTCTCCAAGCTCTGCTCCAATCCTAAGTGCGTCTCACTGCAGACACACTGGGTTCAGGGACACTAGAGCATCCAGCTCATTTAGGCTATGGCCTTAACTCCAGAAGTCATGGCCTTAACTCCAGAAGTCATGGATATAAAAACTGGGTCTTCACTGAAGCATTAGTGCAGCATCTCTTCCCCAGACTTCATTATTTTTGTCCCAATTTCTTCTTTCTCATCTTGTCCCACTTTGTGAGATTTATTGGAGGAGTGTATCGGCTATGCTCCCAGAAGCTAATATTAACTGTGTTGATATCATACATGCTGGTGTGCAAGAGCTGTAGTTGAATGAATCAATTCCCCTGCATAGGTAGGATATACCTTTGGGTATGTGCAATAACCCTTCACTTGCAGAAGGGCACAGTGAAAACTCTGAGAGTGCTCCTGGAAGATGCTTCCCCAGTGCTTCACATCTGCAAAAAGTTCATCTCTAACTGTGACCCTGTGAACCAGCACTATGGGGATGATCTTGAACTAAAGAAGACTGCAAGAAAATGAGTACCAAGCTTCACATGCTTGTGCTCCCAAAGGATGTGGTGCCAGAAGACAACTGTTGGAAAGGGGCAGATCAGGCTCAAATGGGGCAGACCAGGTGCAGCAACCACCCAGCTTTGCAGCACGGAGCCTCCAGTAGCACCTGCGTTTGCATCAACAAGGCAGAGGCAGAACCAAACTACTTGGCTGTTGAGGCAGGAAAAACCACACCAGCTTTGGGGCTCCAGCTGCAGGGATGTCAACTTGGTCAACCGCTCCCACCTGCTGACAGCTCTGTGGTCCAGGAAAGGTTGCCAGTGAGCTGGAAGACACCTCGCACAGGGACCAGGACATTCTCTGTCTTCTTGCCCAGTGCTGAGCCCTGGGCAGGGCACAGCTATGCTGTGGTGAAGGGTGACTGACTTGGACCATACACAGAGCCCAGCTGAGCCTTCATCACAGGAACAGCACGGGAGACCCACCACCCACAAGGTCTTACCAAACAGCAGCCTGGTCTGTGCAACATGCTCAAAAGTATTGACAAAAAACTTCCCCAGACCTACAGTGTTTCCCTCCTAGAATGGACTCACATTTTTATGTGCCTGGTGGCCCCTGTGCCCAGCTTCATGACAAAACCACAGCATTATCAGAGTGTGCCACTATCTGATCTCAGCTCTGAAAACATTGCTACAAATCTAGCAGTATTTCTGAAACAATAGCTACGATGTTTTCCTTAAATCCAGCGAAGTAGTGTATTTGTTTTAAAATGTGCCCACCCAGAGCTCCCCACACATTAATGCCATCAGTTGCTTCAAGCAATCACCTCACATTACACCCCATGCTCTTGAGGTTATTTCCACAATAGTAATTAAATCCTCATTAACAATTTTTAATTATAAATAGGTCAAACTGAATAGCCTACACAGTGAATCTCAGCTCATATTCAGGGACGCCAAAGACTTTCTGAAAGGAAGACAAGTCAAACACCACAGACAAGCTGCTTCTCTAGAGTCTGGAGGGCAGCAGAGGGACCTGTCCAACCAGGCTGCTGACAACCACAACCTCTGGCTTAACCACTAAGCATGACTCAGGCACAGAAAAACCACATGCCTGGTGGCCACAAGCATACAGCTGTCCATCACTGGGCATGTGATGAATTTCCTCTATTTCTGCTCATTTCTTGAATGTCTCCTCCCCAGAGCACCCTCTTACCCAACATGAAGGTGCTCTGAAGGGAACCTGGTGTGAGTGCTTCTCATCTTTGTCCCTGATTTTGTTGTTACTAAAGCCTAAAGAGCAAGTGTTCGAACACAATTACTCAATGCACACAAATCTCTCTTGATGCCATCTAACCTAGGTGAGCACCATGTCTCCTCACCTGTCCAGGAAATACTCTCGTAAACCAATGGAACAAGTGCCAGAGGTCCCTACCAGCAATTGCATGGCCACTGGTTCCCACATGCCAGTCTCCAAACCCAGAAGGCATCGTGGGACAGGGATCAGATCCTCCCTCATTGCTCTCAACCTCACAGCAGATCCCTTCTGCCCAGACTTCTCCAGCACTTACCGCCTCCACCCCTTCGAATTTCCCCGAGGGCAAACAAACCCTGTCATTCTGACATCAGTGCCACAGGCCATGGCGATATTTCAAGGAGAAAAAAAGACACCCATAAATCCTTTCTCACTCTGGAAATCAATGGGGTTTCTCCTCCTGGAGGTACTAAGACAGCAAATCTCTAGCCGCTCCCAGTCCTCCACCCCCAGTGCTCCTCTGAACCTTCCCCAAATCTCTCCCACATGAATCAATCTGAAAGCTGGCAAAGCCTTCCAGCCCCCACCAACCAATTCCACCACCTTGCCATCATGTCCCACTTCCATGCTGGCCTCCAGTTGCACCAGGAGAGCAGCTCCCAGTATATTCACTGGGAGAGGGGCTGCATGAGTGGCCACCCATGCTCAGCTGGGGTGAAGGCATCACCTGTAAGGCTGCCGTTTTTTTTGTGGAGCAGCACGGAGCGACCCTGCTTAGTACTGTTCATTTTTCTCTAGGCTTGCAAGGTTTGGAGATTGGTTCAGATAAGCATCCTCAAGCTTGCATGTTTATCATCTGCACCATCTCCCAAACGGCTTTGATCTGTAGGATTTGGCTGCAGCTCTCAAAGTTATCTTGAGAAAGCTTGTTCTGGGGAGAGTTGTTCTTCTGATTAACAAGAAAAAGCTTTCTTAGTGGCTTTGAGCATTTTCAGCCCTGGCTGGAATTAGGGAGTGTAGCAATGTCTGCACACAGAGAGAAGGAAAAAGTCAAGCAAGCTTCTCCTTAAAGCTTCACTTGGTCTCAGTTGTCATTTCAGCTTAAGTTTGAGGTCAGTTATTTCATCTTGCTTCTTTTTCCCACTCTCTGTTTAACGCTGTCTCACCCCACCACCACGCATGGCTCAGTCTATATATACAGGTTCACACCTTGGATTTATGTGTGGCTTTACATCATCCATATCCTACACAAAACACGTGGGAGGAAAGCTGGCTGCACTGACCAGGAAAGCAAGTCACTGATGGGCTGGGAGAACGATGTAGGGCAAGGGAGAGGGATCTGTACAGTTGAGGTCAAGTTTTAAAAGATACAATATTGAATCAAATAGCTGAAATAAATAGCCCATCTCAAAACCTCCAGCCAAGGAAACACAAGCCACACATAATTACGTGTTAATTGAGTCAGATGCTAATTTTCCAGTTTACCCTCTACTTGGCCAAAGCTTTAGGAAATATTTATTGGGCTGAAAAGTATCAAATTTAACTCCTGCTCTTGAAAAATGCCAATGTGGATTCCCCCCCTTTCAGCCCATCATCACCCCATGCAAGATTTCAGGGAGGAAAAGGAAGATGGTATTAAGGAAAAGGAGGAATTACAGAATTAACAGTGAGGTTTATAGTGGGGAAACTACACCAAACATATCCTGTTGCCCTCATGTAAAAGAAAAATATGCATTAAAAAAACTCTACTCAGGGAGGGGAAAGAAGTGTGAACAGCAAAAATATGTACATGTGTTTTAAATAATTTTTTTAATTGTTGAGGCAGTAATACTTGGTTCATGGAACTGCAATATACAGAGAGGTGAAATAAATAGCTTATATATATATAATATATATAATATAGCTGGTTTTAAAATATTCCCTTATCATTGGTGTACTAGGTCATCTTGTAGTCACTTGAATGTATTTAGCAGCATTCTCCAGAACTGAGCTTAATGCAGGATCACAGAGTCGTGACACCTTATGTCGTCAGAAAGGTTACAGAAGATCGATGCGTCGAGAACTCCACGGAAACTCAATCACTGCGGCACACACCATCTTGTCTCAGGCCGGCGTGCAGCAGACAATAAATAGATTACTGCAAAACCGGCACTTTTCGGGGCAGGGTCTCAGTAACTTTGGGAAAGAACTTTGGTTTTCTTTGGTTTTATTTATTTATTTTTAATTTTTTTTTTCCTCTGGGGATATGCTTGAAAAGTTGTCCTTTCCAAAAAAGTGAAATAAGCACCTGTGTGTCATCATCAACAAGAAGTCAATTTAAATAAAGCAGTTCATTTTGTTTTTCAAGTCACAATAAATCCCTAACAGCTTTTCCCCAGCGTTTGCCATCTAGTCTTTTATTAATTTTTTTTATTTTTATTTTTTTTTAAACACAATGTACAAAAATAGAGCTTCTTCCTTATTTTTAATGTAAAAATATTCCTCTGGTGCAGTTTTTTTTTGTGGTTTATTATTGTGACACTGTTTTTGTCTATTTTTAACTGGGGTTGGTGGGTCGTATTCTCTTAGTCCTCTTGGTGACTGTCGTGTACTTGAAAGGTTTCTGTATCTCCACTTGCCCCTTTGGGTACCTCTTCATAAAATGTACATCTTGCTGGTTTTCCCGGGTCTTGGGCCCTTTTCGTGGCCTCCCTTTTTTGGTGAATCCAACATACCAGCCTGAATATTTTGCTGACATCAGTGCCGTATAGTTATTTTCTAGGACTTTTTCAATGAAGACGCACTCCTTGCTGGTGCCATCAGGCTGAAAAAGGAAAAAAAAAGAAAAAAATTAATTATCCAAATGCAAGCTCAGTGATCAAAACCCAATTTGGCATCAATAAAATAATCACATCTGGACCTTGGTTTTTGCTCAAACATTGTTAATTGGAGCAGTAACAAACAGCAGCTGAAATAGAAATGATTAAAAAAAGAAAAAGCAAGAAAACATGAAGTCATCATTTAATTTTTTGTAAACACTCCTATCCAAGGAAAGAAAGACAACGTTTAAGTTTACCCGGGGCAGCTCCATCAACTGCAAGCAAAACAAGACATTTAGCTTTGCTTTTCCCATTACGGAAGGAGGATGAATTGAACTCATGCCAGGCAAATATCATACTTAATCAGAAAAAAATTAAAAATCAGAATCGCATATGGGCCAATCAACAGTGTTTCCCCTTCTACTACTCACTTTCGATATGTTAACTGAAATACCTTATGGCCTTGTGTCCCTAACTATCCAAATTCCATCAAAATCATTACAAGCCTTAGTCTAAGTCTTCGCAGTGCTTTGAAAACTCTGCCCTGGGCATGATACCTGTCACCGTGCATGGAGCTCCAGGGATGAGCCAGAGCGGTGCTGGAGGCATTGAGGTCCCCAACCCCACTCCAGTCCCTGGGACCCTGGAGAGCCCTGAAACCAGTGGTGATTGTGGAGCCGCATTGCACACCCCAGGCTTAGCTCCAAGTCACATTCCTGGGTGAGCAGCGGAAGGGGCTGTCCCCATGCTGGTGCACTCCCCAGATGGGATGGAATCCCAACGGCATCCCAGTGTGGCAGCAGTGTTCTCAGCCACCAGACCCGCCCCAGTTCCCCTGCCAGAAGGGGTGACACAAGTGCCTCATTTTACACGCCTGCTCTCTCAGGGTAGGTTTTCGTTTGGAAGATGGTTTCATTTCTGGTGGCAGAGGGGAAATCATCCTTCCCTTTCCTGACTTTCAATCTCAGCCTAAAAGCAACCACACAAAGCTCAAGGACTTGGCTTAGGAAGCCATGTCCCTAAATTACTTTCCTTCTCACAAAGGGAGCCAGGATTAGCACAGAACTGGAGGCCAGAAGCTCCTGTGCATGAGTGCTGCTCCCCAATCACCCTGCAGCAAAACACCCACCCTGCTGGGACTCCTTTCCCGATGCAGCTGCTAGTTCAAGACTTTGGCAAACTGTTCAGCTCAGCTTGGAGACCTAGACTAACAGACCCAGAATTGCACTTTGAATGCAGCAGCACGTGGATCTCAGGCTGGATTCAGGACTCTAATTTACACATGATACGCAGCATTGGAGGGAGTTAGAATCACCGAATGGTTTGGGTTGGAAGGGACCTTAAAGATCATCCAGTTTTACCCCCCTGCCATGGGCAGGGACACCTTCCACCAGCCCAGGTTGCTCACAGCCCCGTCCAACCTGGCCTTGAACCCTGCCAGGGAGGGGGCAGCCACAGCTTCTCTGGGAAACCTGTGCCAGTGACTCACCGTCCTCAAAGGAAATATAACCTAAACCAGTTTAAAACTGTTATCCCTTGTCCTATACCTACACCCCTGATCAAGAGTCCCTCCCCATCTTTCCTGTAGACCCCCTTTAAGTACTGGAAGGCCGCTATAAGGCCCTATATGGGGGCAAAGCCAGATCTGCCATATGCCATCAACAATCTCCTTCCCAGGCTAGGCACAAAGGTCCTAATTTTATCATCTACAACTGGAAGCTCACAAACACTTTGATGAATGACAGAACTGGGCAAAGCTCAGTGGTTCCAGATCCTGGGGGGAGGTCGTTCTCCGAGCCCTGGGTTTGATCAAAGCCACATGAGTGGGGAAGGGGGAAATCAGTCGACACCATGGGGTTCCACCAGGTTTCAATGGGAAGCCATAAAACCAGCCCCAGGTTTCTCAGGGCTCAGCCCACTACAAACCCTTCCCCTGTGAATGGAGAATTTTTAAACAATACCATGGCTGAGTTTCAAATCCACCCAAACCCAGGTGCTGATGAAGCGACCGGATCCATACCACAGGGGGAGCAGGTAATTGGAAAGGCTGTTTCCCCCACACTCGTGGAAAGGTCCTGGATTTGAGCCCTGACCTTGTTGCTAGGAGAATTAAGGCATTTTCATGCAATTTGGGAGGTTTCCGCTTGTACTGCAATGTCAGTTTCTCATGGAAAACGAAGACTGGAATGAAAAGAAAACGTGTGTGTAGGAGGGGGAAGTTATTCTATTAATAACAAGAAGTATTTACGTATACCTTCAAATTTGCCAACAGAACCTAAGACAGAGACAGGAGGTGGAGGAATAATAAGGTGCAACTTCAGGCCAACCTCAGGGCTAATTTGAAGTAAACAAGGTGCATGAGATAAAATAAGTTCGTTCTGGAAGAGGAAGAGCTAAATGATTTGATAACATGAAATTACAGTAACATCTACAAGTACCTCAAGATTAATCAGGATAAGGACCTCACTTCCCCAAACAGAGCATTCCTATACGTGCTAAGACACGTCAGAGACAGACAAATGATTTTCAAATACTTACAAAATGATTTTACAGCATTCGTTATAATCCCCAATAGAATAAATCACTCACACATAATGCCAACACCATGGAGAGCTGACCCATGATAATCTGTTAGGGGAAAAAGCAATTTATGAGGGTTTTCAATAATTTGTGTGACCTTGTTTTCAGAAGGTGCCCATCACTTAAGGTCTAATTGTGTCCCTATTTAAACATCACAAAACATTCATTGGGTCTCACCCATCTCCTCACTCCTCCAAAGAGAGAAGGAAGGAAGAGAAGATGCTTTGGCCGAGCATCACTCCCTCCTCCAGCCACCTGCTTGCCCTTTCCCAGGAGCTCCTAGAGCAATCGCTTCCTGCTGACACAGAGCTGCACCCTCTGCAGCAGACGTCAGCAGAGACGTTGCCAAGCCGCATTTCATACATACTTAACTGCCAGGATGCACCTTGCAGAGTGCTTGCCCTTCAGAATGTAAAGGTTTATGTTTTGAACTGATTCTTTAAAATAAAGAAGAGTTCTTGAAAGCCTCAGAGCTCTGCAGGAATGGCCTCGCCTGGTGTGATGGCACTGCCACATGATGGGGAAGGACCCGCATTCCCATCAGCCTCACAAAGTGGGGTGGGCACAAGGGCTTTGTGACCCCAAGATGTCCCACACATGCTTAGGGGATGAGCTGCTCCTGTGTTTTGCTCACCACCGTTCCGCAGGCAGCATGTCCAGCCAAGCTCCCTGCTTAGAGCAGGGTGAGAGCCGCTGCAGAGGCACAACTCTGCTCCCACAAAAGGAACAGGCCCTCTTCAAATCAGCACCTCCTCAAACCTGTGGCAAGCCACCCCCAAATTGCCAATTTTGCCCCCAGGGGCTGCTGCCTGGCCATGAAATGAGGCCATGCCACCATGGAGGCAACAATTTGCAGCTCAGTTCTTTATAGAGAAGTCAGAGCATTTTTTCTTTAAACTCACCCCTAATAGCTAATGGGAAGATGTGGTAGCTGTCAGCCAGACTTCTGATAAATGCCTTATAAAATGCCTGATCTAAACACTACCTTCCACAGCAACCCCTGGGGCATCGCCCAGGTCTGCGAGGGAAAGCACAGCCATGCTGGTAAAGCCCGAGCAGCATGAAGCACTGGCTCTGCTGGACCATCTCCTGTAAATAATAGCGGGGGACCCGCCCCAGCAAGCCACTGCCCAGTGACAAGGCAGTGGACCCAAGTGGTTCCAGTCCCTTTATCAAGCAGGGTTAGAGCTGCAGCAGCTATCCAAGGTTCCCCCTCCAGAAAGGGATATCTTGAGAGTGGGACTGTTTATACACCACGGGCCAATTCCATCCCACGTGCAGCTGAAGGCAGCGGAGCCGAAGGAGCTGCGCTGGAGCCAGGGGCTCTCCGAGTGCCCTGAGCTTACCAAGGAGCAGCACCGGATTGTTTGTGCAGAGCATTTGGCGACGGGCTCTCCAGTATTAAACGTGAAACATGTTGAACTGACACTAAAGCAGAATTAAGTGCCAAAGCATTTGCTGCTTCTACAATTACACTTCGGAGCGCTTTGGTGCTCCTGCTCTCCTTTTTATGACCCAACTTGGTCTTATTGTAGTTTGGCTTTCTCGTTTTAAGTTCTCCAAATGGAAAGGATCAAAGGGCTCTTTGTTGTCGTAGCAGGAGCGCTCCTCCGAGCGAGGCATTCCTGCCACTAACAGCTTGCTGCTCAGGGGGAATTCGCGGCAGCCTCTGTGCCACCAGCCTGAGCCAAAGCATTAGCAGGTGCAGCCGCCGCCTCCGCCTTCTCCCTATTAGCCTGCCACACTAAGCCACCTGAGCAGCTTTTTATGGGAAAGGGAGGCCAGGGCAGGTTTTCTCATTTATGCTTCACAAATCTGGCTCAGTGGGCACCGGCAAATCCAAACTTCACTCGGCTTTTACGGCAACAATAAGCTCGCGCAAGCAGCTCGGGTAACACCACAGTGCAGGGAGAGATGCCTCTAAGACTGAAAGGCTTCTCTGTTTACAAAATCAGGGCACAAATTAAGCCCTAAGAGTGATGCTGTGTTAAGCTGTCCTTAGCTAAGCTTGTTAAAACACTTCTCCCCTCTGCAAACGATGCAGCAGTTAGAAGCGCTCTGCTAAGCCGACTGAATGCACTGATGATGTGCTGCAAATAATAACAAACACCAAACCATAGGGAACACATCTGTGACAACCCAGGAATGCCTGCTTAGCACAGGGTGCAGCGGGACTCAACCTTTCAAGTGACAACGGGATCACTCTCCTGTTTAATTATCACCTTTCCACAAGTTCAGCTCCCCAGGCTCTAAAACAAATTGTGGAGATACCAGTTCTCCATACAAGTGGGAGCAATTCCCTCTGCAAAGAAAGCAATCCCCCACTTCCTAAAAATCACAGAGTGGGGAAAGCTACTGCTCAAGCAAAAGGTTTCCAAGAAGTGTACGCACCTAGGATTTTTTCAAGGAAAACCCCTGAAAATGG